GGAGGGTCGGTATGAGTCAGCATAGACTTGATGGCAGTGAGTTTTTGGTGATCCAAGAGGTTTTGCGCCATTTTGCTTTAATTCTCTTTCCAAGCTTGCTTTGCAGCGGCCTTGCTGGGTCTCTTCTGAGACTGACGCGTGTGCGCGGGAAGAGAGCGTGCAGTGCCTTTGTTGGGGGGGTGCTGTCTAGCTCTGTGAAGCCCAGTTGATTGGCTTCCTCGGGTCTTCTGTATCTCGGCTGGACGTCTTCCTAGCTCTTTCCATCATCAGAAACGCGTGTTCAAGCCTCTGTTGAGCAGGTCGATTCCTCTTTCCAATTCAGTTAATGTTGGGCTTGGGTATCTCGGGGCTCGTTTGTTAGATGGGCAAATAAACACCAGGTTGACTAAGGCCCTTCCTTGCCTCAAGGGTGGGAATCCCGTTGGAAACAGACTGGCACATCTTCCTCCCTCGGAGCAGCTGATGGATTTCAACTGTTGGCATTTTGGTTCAGCCGATTGCTTGAACCACGGTGCCACCAGAACCTTCCTAGAACTGAGGCAGTCAAAATGAGTGACATGCCTTAAACGCTTGCGGGGGAGGGAGGGTCCACGGCTGCTGCGTCCACTCTGACTCAAGGTGAGGCCCCGCCTGCAGGGCCAAGCTTTTCCGTTGGGCTCCCAAGGCTGGGGCCTCTCAGCCAGATCATGAAGGCCTTCTCCCAGGCTGCCTCTGGGCGGGTTGGGATTCCTCACCTTTATGCTAGTCAGCGATCGCGTTACTGTCTGCGCCACCCCGGACCCTGCCTGGAGTGGAGTGGCTGTGGATGCCCGTCACCTGTATCTACTGCTGGCCCTGCTCCCAGCTCCGGGGCAGACTGGGGCCTGGTCTCAGCCTCTCTGATAACCGAGACAGCGGCCCCAGCCTCTGAAGGCAGTAGTGGGGTTTCGGCCAGATGGGCCGGCGCGGGGTCTCGGCCAGGTCTCGTCACGTGAAGACCTGACCTCGGTGGTCCTGGCTGAGCGGACTCACCCGTGGCTACAGTGCCCGGTCAGCACTTGCATGCCCAGACAGGAGGGCCGTCTCCAGGTGGTGTCAGAGACCCCCCCCTCCCCGACTTCCTGGGTGCCCGAGGCAGGTTTGAGCCAGACACAGGACACCTCCCTCCCCCGAGCCGCACGTTGCATAAACACGTCTACAGACAGACCCGCCACACAGTTCAAAGAGGCACGAAGGGAGAGAGATGGTCCCGTCGGGAAGCGTCACTGCTTTAATTCTGGCCAGGGCCTGCCACGCTGAGGACCCAGCGGGCCACCTGCCCGCCTGCCCACCGCCCGCCCAGGGCAGCAGGCTGATGTTGGCCGCGGCCTCCACCCATCCATGTGATCATTTACAAAAATAAATATGAAAAAGGCGCAGCCCGTAGGTGACGGTGGGGTGAACTGCACGGCGACTACGTGTGTCAAAGCATCTGGTATGGCTCTTGAGTGGCACCGGAAGATCTGGAAGCACTTGGTTCCGTCTCAGAGGCAGTGGGAGGGCCGGGCCGGGTGGAGTGGGGTTGGCATGGCCGGTGGGGGTGCGGGGGCAGGCTCACATCTCGGAGTCTGCGTACATCCCGTTGATCAGATAATCCACCTGTGTGTAGTCCTTCTTCTGGTAGCTCTCGTAGGCCTGCAGGGCGAACAGAACCAGGACGGTGACAAACAGGGTCACGCCCAGGAGCAGCACCGCCAGGAGGAAGCTCAGGGACGGGGCCAGGGGGGCAGCGGTGACCAGCAGGCCTGGGGCTCCGGCCGGCCAGCTGGCGTCTCCACAGTCAGCAGGAGCAGTGCCCGGCATGGCTTCTGTCCCCACCCGCTCCGGGTGCTGGGGGGTGACCTGCCCCAGGGCCGCCTGGGTGGATGGTGTGAGGTTTGGCAGCGTCTGTGCAGTGGGGGGGGTGGCCTCTGCCTTGGGGGTTGGGCTGGCCTGAGGTGCAGGTGCTGTGCTGGCAGTGGACGCCTCTGTTTGGGCCTTGGTGGTAGCTGTCGCTGTCGTGGGCACAGAGGGGACCGTGGTGGGTTCAGGGGCTGTGTCTGAGAGGATGGTGGACGCAGGCCTGCTTATTGGGTTGGCCACAGGTGGGCCCGTGGATGTCTGGGTAGTGGGACCTTGCGTGGTTGTATTGGGAGGCTGTGGGCTTGTGGCCGGGGGGAGGTCTGTCGCAGAGTGACCCGTGGGGGGCTGGGGAGGGCTGAGTGTGGGTACTGGATGGCTTGGACCAAGTGCGGCCGTGGTCGCGGTAGCAGCACTCAGGGCTGGTGGTGTCCCGGTGGTTGTCCCTGGCAATGTGTTCCCTCCTGGTACTTGTGTGCGGGGTGTGCTGGCAGCTGGGTGCTGGGTGGCCACAGTGGGCAGCGTCCGTGAGAGCGATGTGGGGACAGACGACGTGGGCCCTGGGGGAGCACTGGAGTCTGCAAGTTTGGTGGGCTGGAGCTTGCCTGCTGCCCCGTCCACCTCTGTCCTGGCCCTGGTCTTTGCTTCGGTCAGGTTGGTGTCAGATGCCAGAGCCGAGCTGGTTAGGGAGACCAGGGGCGTTGTCGCCAGCGTCACTGGTGCAGACGTCTTGTTCTCAAATGCAACAGTGGTTTCCGGGGGGGCACTGCCACTGAGTGGGCGAGGCCAGGTCTGGTTCGGGGCTGGGAGGCCTTCAAGTCAAAGCACAAAGAGATGTCTGAGGTCAGGAACCAGAGGCCACGGCCCAGAGAGGGAAGTCCCAGCTCCCGGGGCCAGTCCTGCACCCTGCAAGAGTGTGTGTGCGTGCGTGCGTGTGTGTCAGGGGCAGCCCTGCACCCTGCAACTGTGTGTGTGTGTGTGTGTGTGTGTGTGTGTGTGTGTCAGGGGCAGCCCTGCGGTCGTGTGGGGGTTGATGGGTGGGGAAAGGGCCATCTCCACTTCCTCTGGAGGTGCCGCTGGCTGGACCCAGCCCTTCGTCCTGATGTGGAAACTCCCTCACCCTCCCTGGAGCCTGAGCCCACCCAGTGTTTATGAGCTATGTTGTCAAGGAGCCTCGAGTTGTGCCCCTGAAATGTGTGTGGAAAACCCAAACCCTTCTACTGCGTATGTGTGTGTATGTTGGGGTGGGGTGGGGTGGCAGGAGCCCTGACGGCACTGGGATTAAATGCACCTCAGCTAAGAGGACATCCCTGGGAGAAAGGCCTGGGGAGCTACCCCCCAACCCCCGCCCCCAAAAGGATGACAGCCTCAACGGCCTGGAGGCCACACTGCTGTCCCTCAGGGTTGAGAAGAGTCCACAGCCTCCCACCTGCCCAGAGGGCCCCTGGGCTGCTCATGAGACCTTGAATGGGGGCTGGAGCTGCAGGCGAGGCGGGGCAGCTCAGGACCAAGGATCAGTGGGAACCACAGGGTTCTGTCTCCACAGAGCCACGCAGCAGGCGCTGGCAAGAGACAAGGACAGTCCCCCAGAGGGAGCCTTCCCCAGGGCCAGGGCCCGAAGTTCAACGTGCGGCCTTGTGGGAAGATAAATGTCTGCCTGTTGGCGCTCCCCCTGTTCCTATCACAGCCCTGCTGGATCACAGAAGCAGAGACGACTGGCTCCCACAGATGAGCTCCCAAAGACAGACCTCAGCCAGAGGAAACACACACACACAGCCATCGTGGACGCCGAGCCACAGTGACCCTACAGGACAGGCTAACTCTTCACAGTCCCCTCCTCCCTCCCTCCCTCCCTCTCTCCGAGGGGCTGGGGGCTTTGAAGTGGTGGCCTTGTGGTTACCAGCCCAACGTGTAACCACTTGGCCAACAGGGCTCGGAGCCTCTCACTCCAGGTAATACCCACACTGCCCAGGTGGGTGAAGCAGGTCAAAGCAACCACAGCACAGAGTCTGCTGGTCGGGAAGCGGGGCCCTTGGCCTGACAAAAGGGCTCACTAATTGAAAAAATAAAAACCTCAACAACAACAAGGTTCGCTGCAGGAACCCCTGAGGCCACATAGCTGGTCCAGAACTGGGGCCCCATGAACCCATCTGATGTGTGAGGGGTGAAGAGCACACGGTGGACCTCTGAGGGCCTAGGTGCCTGTCCTGCCAAGGGTTCCCAGCCTCGAGGTTCCGCGGAGGCTGGGTCTGGAGCCTCTGCCCAGGCCAGCACCCAGGGAGGGCTGGGGTGCCTGACTTGCCGGCTGGGCCCGCAGAGCCCTCTCTCCTGGGCTCAGAGAGCTCGGGGCCACCGTGGACAAGCTTGTCACTTACCTGCAGAAGTGGATGCCATTTGGAGTTCAGGGAACTGCAGGCAGAAAACCCAGCCGAGCACAAGGGCTGTCCACATCTTGGGGGTGAGCTGGGAGCGAGGCTGGGCCATCCGGGGCCACACCACCTCCAGCTCTTCAGGCAGCTCCTAGTACCTCCTGCCTGGCGGAGGGATCTGTGGGCAGAGAGCACCAGGGTTAGGGGCTGGGGGGCAGCACCCCACCTACTTGAGGCCTGGATTCAGCCTGCATCTCTCCGGGGAGGGAGGACATGACCAGTGTGCACCTGGAGCCAAGGGCCTGACTGGGGCCGGTGGGAGGGACAGTGCTCTGTCCACTGCTGCACACTGACTGGGTTCAAGGCACCCATCACGTGTGATGTCACGGAGCCTCCACACAGCAAGTCCCCACGAGGCCAAGCAAGCCCAGACTTCTGCCAGAGCAGTGGAGAGGGGGTGCTGGGCTGGACGAGTTATAGGCTAGGCCCCAGTCACCAAAGTCTGGTAACTACCCCTGCCAGTCGGACTGCACACGCCATGCAGCCGTGAGCCCGCTCCAGCAGGGCCGGAGGCCCTAAGACCCCTCAGAAAGAACAGATTCTCCAGGCGTCCCTGGGGGGGGTGGAGCCCCTCCAGGGCTTAAGCACGGGTTGGCCAAGGCCAGAGGGGCTTTAGCAAGGGGGGTGGACAGCAGCAGGGGTGGGCGCTCACGGAGACCGGTGAGGAAGCCCGTGGGCAGTCCTGATGGAGGGGGCCAGGCCCTGGGGGGACATGGTGCGGTCTGCCACTGGGAGGGCCCCGAAGGTGGTCAGGCCTCAGCTAGGGAAGTTGAGCTTCTCTGAGGGACACATCACAACCTCAGAAGCCCACAGGCCACCCCACGGCTGTGCCTCCTGGGTGTGGAGCGGGTGGGCCAGCACTTCCTGAGCCTGTGGGGACCCAGCCTGGAGCTTCCTGGGCCCGTGGACCCTCGCCACAGGTGCACCTGGCCAGCTGAGCACCCCGCACGAAGAAGCCCTGGCCTGGCGTGGGGAGCAAACACGGGCATGCCAGGGGTCGGGGAGCAAAGCCAGTTGCAGGAGTCCCCCACACGCCGCCTTTCCCCTGTCCCTCCCTCTGGGGCACATTGTCCCTGCCTGGCTCGCGTCCTGTCACCCACCAGAGGCAGCAGCTCAGGGCGTGCTCCCGGGCTGGGCCACTGTCCTCCTGTCAGTGTTGAGAGCTTGGCACCGGGTCAGGTCTGGCTCCGTGGGTGGCGTGGCCGCTCCCGGGGCTGCTCCCACGCCTGGCATGCCTCGTGGCATCTGTAGGGCAGGCGCTCTGGGCCGCTGTCAGGCATACCTGCGATTCGAGACAAGAACCCCCACCACGTGAGGAAAGGCACGGCGCGCAGGCCACAGGGGAGGTGCGTGGGACGGCCAGGTCTTTATTCGGGACGTGACCGTGCGTGTCACGCTGTCCAGTGGCCAAACCGACTTCTGACCGGGGTTCTCATGGCTGGGCCCTTGCCTGAGGAGGCCGCCGGGCAGACGGCTGAAGACAGACGTTGACATGGTCCTCCCCATGCCCTTCGGGAAGAGGCAAGAGCTGGACTGGCCAGGGGAAGGACTGCCTTACCCAGACATGAGATACTGGGGTGACGTTGCGTCCCTCATCATGAGGAGGCGTATATCGGATCCCGGGAAGGAGGCTGGGGGCAGCAGGTCCCCCACAAGCCTAGCGACACAGCTGCCTTCAAGCCTGTGGGCTGCGGTGGGAAACCCTGCCAGCCCTGCACCCTATGCCGGGAACTCTGGGGTGTGGTGCAGGGTTGATAACCACCAGGTCAACCCCCCAGCCACATCTTGGGTGAAAGATAGGGCCAGCTCCTCCCGCCATAAAGATCGAGTCTCAGGAACTCCTTACAGGGTCACTGGCGGGATGGACGCGGTGGCCGGAGACGCCAGCCTCCCCGGTCCGTAGTCGGGCCCCTTTGCTGGCACACGACCAGGCGACAGTCTATGCTGCCCTAGGGGGGTTTCCCAACGGTTGGTTTTGGAAGGACATGACCAGGCCTTTCTTGCTACTCTGTCTTGAGGCTCTGCTGAAACCTGTCCACCAGGGTGTTGGAAGCACCGGGGAACAGCTTCCAGTATCACAGCCACACCAGCCAGCTCAGCATGGCCAATGGGCCGTGGCTGGCGGGCTGTGTGGTACCGGGCACGGGAAGCGCTACAGCCATGCCCGGGCGTGACCGACGGGCAGCTCCCATTGTCGACTGCACACTGCGTTTGTGCCCTTGTCGTGTGCACGCCTGACTTTCGGGAAAGGCCCTGAGAGGCTTTCCGCTGAAAAGCCGCGAGGGCCAGTTCCCTGACTGAGAGAAGCAACGTGATTCACCCATCAGGAGGGGTTTTCCAGGAGCCATGCCCAGCTCTGAAGGGAGCCCAGGGGGCAGCTGCCACACAGAAAGAAACCAGGATGAGGACCCTTTTCTGGCCCAGACACGTAGTCACACACACATGAACATGCAGCACGCACACATGGGCATGTAAGGCCCTGTGTGCACAATCACATACATGCGCGTTCCATCACCCGCAAGTGTCACCCACAGCCACACACGCGCACATGTACATCATGCACATATAGACATGTAAGACTGTGAGTACAGTCACAGATGGGTGTGATTACATTCAAGTGTTCACATGCAGCCACACACACACATGCATACAACACGCACGATCAATCATACTCAAATGTCCACACACACGCTGCCCATTATCACACATACATGCTTATCTGCAAGCAGTTACATGCATGTCCATAGCCACACATGTGCGTGCAACCACACTCACATGTCCAGACACCCACCTTCATGTGCACACAGCCATGCGCAAGTACAAAACCACACACAGTTACATGCACGTGCTTGCAGTCACACTCACCCACGTGTGCAGATCACCACATGCTCAAACATAGGGACATGGGTGAGCCAGGACACGAGCCTCCCCCAGGCTCTCACTGCCCCCCCTGCCCCAGCTGTCCCCCCAGTCTTCAGGGCAGGGTCCCCCACAGGTCAGGGAGGAGACGTCTGGAGAGGAGAACAAAGCCCTCCTTCAGTGAGGAAGCTCACCTCAGCTCGGCCTCCCTCAGCTTTCCAAGTGCCTGTTCTAAGTGCCCAGGGTGTTCTAAGTATGTGGGGCCCGCACGAGCCCCTATCAGTCAAATGGCTAGGAGCAAATGCACAGTAAGACTGGAAAGAGCCTCTTCCCTAAGGATGGCCCAACCATCAGCAGCCTGCCCGTGAACTCCAGCCACTCTCCTCTGCGCAATGCCCCAGGTGGGTGGGGGACTGCAAGGGAAAAAGGTCCCAGGCAGGAGAGCAATAAGCAAGCGAGGGACCAGAGCTGATGGAAAGATGGGAGGTGAGGCTGGTGCTGGGAAGAGCCCCTTCCCTCCCTTTCGGGGCTCAGCTCCTCACAGGATCTGCATGGGAGCTTCCCTTTCAGCGGGTGGCACCCCACCACAAAGGCCCCCACACAAGTCAACTTCCCAATCATTTTCTGGCCCGTGGCCTTGAGACACCCCACTGTCTCCTAATTCTTGTGCCCTCAACCTCGTCTTGGCTTCTGAGTCTTCTGATGCGGTCTGCTGCATGCAGGGGGCTGTACACGAGCTGAGACGATCCCTGGGAGGTGAGCGTTTGGGCGTGCCCGATGACTAACCTAAAGGTGGGCTGTTCAAGCCTGCCCCGTGGTGCCTTGGAAGAAAGGCCCGGCAATCTGCCTCGTCCAGATGACAGCCAAGAAAACGCTATGAAGTAACATTGCTCGGATACACACGGGGTCCTCCGGAGTCGGCACAATCCACTCGAAGGCCGTGGGTGGGCTCGAGTGGCTGTTTTCTTGTTTGTTTGCAAGTGTGATGCCAGCAGACTCCAAATGGCTTCAATTACTTTTCTGGCACAGACGCGTCCCAAAGACCCAGCACAAAGGCTCCCGAGCTTGTAAGGGACTCCACGGGTCCCCTGCTTGTTTTCCTCTTGCACCCACTCCAAGCCGGAGACCCCAGCCTCGCCAAGGAGAGGGGAATGCAGACGCAAATACAGAGCAAACCCAAAGACTGATGGTGACACGTCACCGGCTGAACTTTGGTAGCAGGAGTCCAAGGATCGGGGCTCAGGGCGTGCGGTGTCCTGGGAGCAGACACTGCCCCAAGGCCCAGAGGCCGTGTCTACGTGGCAGCCGGGACAACCGGGCATTGTCTTGGCTGTAACTCTTGTTTAAATCATCGTAGCGATTGTCTGGGTATCACAACAAAATCCTGAACAAGGATCTGGCTGCTTTTTTCCCCCACCCCCTGGTAATTTGGGGCGATCTTACACTCCTCCCCCCATGAGGCAGGCCCCTCCATAAATGGAAAATGTGTCCTTTAAATACTTTGCTGGTTTCCGGGGAGGAGAGAGGGGCGCTGGGTGCAGGTGGTACAGGGCCGATGTGTCAGGTGCAGGTGGCACAGCCAGCAGACTTCCTTGTGTCCTCCGGTTTGCTAGAGGGTCAGTGAAAGGAGGAAGCCCCTCGAGGAGATGCAACAGTGAGCTCAGGAATGCAGGGCTGTGAGTGAGGACCGCCAGGGGTTCCGGGGTTCCTAGGGTCCCTATGTGTCACCACCTACTCAGATCCCCGGCTCACCCTAACCGAACCGTTAGTGGGGCCATGCGCACTCTCACAAGGAAGTGGGCAGGCAGACAGCCAGGTGGACCGGTCTCTGGGAGGAGGCCTGGCCACCCAAGGGCCCAGCTCTTTGGAGTGGGGGCTGTTTGTTTTCTGGGTCCCCCTCTAGTCTTGGCCTTGCTGACACGTGGGAAGCGCTTCTGGCTCCTGCCCACAGGGTGTGTTCCCAAACTGTAACAGCCTGTCCTGTCCTCCCTTCTCCTGGTCCCCGTCCAGCGTGCCACTAAGGGACCCCAGGGACCTCACCGCTCCCCTCTCCTCCTCACCCCGCTTCGCACCGTCTCGGGCGGGGTGCCCCTGGCCCCTCCCATTCCTCTTCCTCCAGCCGCGTCCTGCCTCCCTCCCCAGTGCCCATCACCGGTCCTCCACTTCCCTCCTGCGGCCCCACGCCGGGAGCCCGGACAGCAGCTTACCCGGGCGCGGCAGGCCTGCGGTGGCCCGGCGGCCCTCGGACGGCGGGGAAGCGGCGCGGCCCGGCGTGGGGACGTGGCCGGCAGCGGGGAGGCGCGGCCCGAAAGCCAGGACAGTTCGGGGTGGCGGCCCCTGCACGGGCCCGCCCGGGCCGCCCGGAAGTGACGTCACGGGTGGGCGGGGCTGTCCCGGACTCGAGGTGCCTGGTGCGGCCGGAGCCGAGCCGGGCGGGAGGGGCGTGGCCTGGGCGGAGCCACCTGGCGGGCGGCCGGAAGTAGCTCTTCCTGGCAAGGTTCTGGCGGAAGTGGGTGTTGCTGGGTTCACCACGCTGGCTGCGCTCAGAACGCCCCAGCCCCTTGTCGGGACGTCCCGTCGCCTGGCCTGGGGGCAGGAGCCGGTGCCCCTTAGTGACCGTGGCCCCTGCCTGCCAAGCCCGGGGTACGGAGACCGCGTTACGAGGGGCCTTGACCCTGTGCACCCCACTCTGGAGACACGGAAACGGGCCCACAAAGTGCCGTGCACGCTTGCATGGGGGTCATGGGGCGTGGACGGAGGGGTGCAGGGCTTGACCTTAAGTGGAAAGTGGCTTGCAAGTCTCGGGTTCCGTGACTGCGCCCCGCGGACGCCCCACATCCATGGCAAAGCCAGTACGCGAAGGAGGGCCCACGGAATACGCCTCTTTCCCAGCAACCGTGGATCCCCCCAGACGGCCTGCAGCCCTGAGCTTGGGGGGGGGGAGAGTGGGGGGGGGGAGCAGAGGCAGACTGCCCAACCTCTCAGCTACACACTTTCCTTCCCACTGCTGTACCCCAAACTCATTGTCTTGGAAGCGAATCCGACGCATGGCCACCCTAGAGGGACAGGGAGGAGCTGCCTTTGTGGGTTCCCAGGACTGTATCTTTAGTCCAGAGCCTCATCTTTCTCCCCCAAGATCGACTGGTGATTTCAAGCTGCTGACCCGTTTGGGTCAGCAACCCACGATGCTACTAGGGCTCCTCACAGTTTCAGGTTGTGTCCAACTTACCTGTAAAACTTGGGCATGTCACCTTGTCATGCAGGGCTGCTTAGAGGTGTCTGCAAAGAGGAGCCTCTAGCCTCCTGGTTAAAACACAGGTGATAAGCACCAGGTTGGCATTTTGAACCCACCAGCTGCTCTGTAGGAGAAAGATAATCTCTTTGAACCAGACTCTCTTCAATAGATTGATTAAAAAAAAAAAAACTGCCATTGAGTCCATGCTGACTCATAGTGACCCCTGTGAGTCTCTGAGACCATAACTGTTGGTGGGAGTAGAAAGTCAGTCTGTCTCTCTAGGAGCTGCTGGTGGCTTTGAACTGCTGACCATGAGGACCGCAGTCCACTGTGTAACCACTGAGATGGATAGTTTGGTTTTATAGATTACACCACTGCAACTGAGTCACTCCCAACTCATACCGGCCCTATAAAGGACTTCTGAGCTTGTAAATTTTTTATTTTAAATTTCATTATTTATTTACTTATTATTAATTGGAATTTTATGCACATAGTAAATCATCTTTAATAGGGTTTTTTCTGATTTCAAAAGGGTCCAAGTATTCAATTAAAATACATGAAAATCACTATTAATAGTTATTAATAACTGAGGTTTTAAATCTTTACAGCAGCAGGCAGCCTCAACTTTCCCCTACGGGTCTGAACTGCTGACCCTGCAGTTATCAGTCCAGCGTTGACCAGACAGCGCCATCAGGGTGCCATCTGTACAGAAAGCAGCCTTGGAAACGTTCTGGGCCAGCCTTACAGTGGCCTGTAGGGTCACGATCTGTCAGAATAGACTTCATGATGGTGGGTTTGGTGTGGTTTTCTTCACTCGAGCTGAATACATTATTTCACAAAGGAAGTAGACCCCAGGGCCAGCTGTGGTGCTGTGCCCGCTCTCCCAGCGGGGGGTGGGGGTGGGGGTGGTGGTGTTGAACTGAATTATATCTCAAAGATAACCCAGAGTCCCCGGTTCTGCTCTTTCAAACTAGCTCATGTGCTGCAGAAGCCTTGAAGGCCGTTTCTCACTGGTGGAGACTGGAGGATTTTCACTGGCTGGGAACTTCCTCTCTCTCTCTCTGTCTTTTCTCTCCCCACCCGCCTTTTTGGGGAGCACAAAGCACACGGACAAACATCCGAACCGTAGTTACAAAGCCTGTCTAGTCAGAGCATTAACGGTATCCCAGAAATCCTCCCTGCATGGCCCTTTCTTACCCCCCCTTCCCTTCCAACCCCTCCTCCCTTCTCCCAGCCACCAAGTCTGCTTTTTTTTAGTGTGGAAGCCATTTTTCTTAAGATTTACTGCCCCCTTTAGAATAATAGTGTCGGAAGCATTTGTCTTTATAAGATTGGCTGACTTTGCTGAGCGTGATGCATTCCAAATTCACCCATGTTGGGAGGGGTTGGACAGTTCCATTATCATTTTTCAGAGGTGCATACTATTTCATTGTGTGTGTGAGTGTACACCAGAGTTTATTTATCCATCCCTCCAGAGACAGGCTTTTTGGGAAACTAAATCCTATTAAATCCCGATCCCAACACAACGTTGTTGAGTCCATCCCAACCCATTGTGTCCCTATAGGACAGAGAAGAACTGCCACACGGGCTGTCATCTGTCACCCTTACAGAACCAGACGGCCACAGCTTTCTCCCAAGGAGCGGAGCCACCTGTGGGTTCAGACCACCCACCTTCCAGCCAGCAGCCACCCACTTGCTGTCCCTGCGTCGGTCACCCCAAGCTCTCCCTGCCATCAAGGCGATTCTGACGCACAGCAACAGGGACAGGGACAGGGTGGAGCTGCCTCTGTGGGCTTCCAAGACTGTAGTACATCTTTACAGAAGAAAACCCCCATCTTTACTGTCTCGCTTTACAGTGGAAAGCCTCATCTGTCTCCCCAAGATCGGCTGGTGATTTCAAACTACTGACCTTGCATTTAGCAGCCCACTAGGTCACCAGGGGCTGTACTGTACCACCAAGCTCCTTAAGTCCAAGGACACCTGTGTTTATAATCCCATGTGGAAATAGGATTTTCTCAGCCTGGCGACCCCGTGGATTAGGCTGGGAACTGCAAGGCTTGTCTGCAGGAGCAAGATGAGGTGGTCTGCTGCCGCCTAAGAAAACCAACCTCGCAAACAGACATTCACATCTAGTCCGACTCATAGCCACTCTGCAGGGCAAAACAGAACCACCTCCGTGAGTTGCCAAGATTACCGTCTTCACAGACGTGCAAAGCCTCTCTGTTCTCCCAAGGAGCGGCTGGTGCTTTCAAACTCGGCACGAGAGAATCAAGGCAGCATCTCTTAGTCTATACTTTCCCTTGGGCAAAATGAGAATGAGAGCGCTGAATGGCCAAGATACAGCAGAGGGCACCTGCTTGCCAAGGGCTCCCAGTGGCGGCCAGGCTAAGCTCTGTGCCCCCTCTGCTCCGATGACGATGACGAGCATGTTACTGCCGTGCAGTCCTGTGTCTGTTCTGCAGTGGTACTTGGGGCTGCCGGAGCCAAACTGCCTCAATGACAATGGTTTGGATTGCTGATTGCTTCCCCACCACTGAAGACTTGTGTGTGCGGTGCCCCAAAACCAACAAGCAAAACTTTACAGCCACCCGGAGTGGGGACCCAAAGCCCATCTGTAGGCAACTGGACATCCCCTTATGGAAGGGTTAGGAGGAGGAGATGAGCCAGTCAGGGTGCAGTGTAGCAATGATGAAACATACAACTTTCCTGTACTTCTTAAATGCATCCTCCCCCCAAGACCCTCCACTATCATGATCCCAATTCTACCTTACTAATCTGGCTAGACCAGAGGATGTACACTGGTGCAGGCAGGAACTGGAAACACAGGGAATCCAGGGCGGATGATCCCTTCAGGACCAGTGGTGAGAGTGCTGATACAGAGAGGGTGGAGGGAGGTTGGGGTAGAGAGAGGGAACCAATTAAAAGGATCTGCATAGGGTGAGGGGCGGGGGCAATAAAACAAAAATAAATAAATAAATAAAAGGATCTACAGATAACCTACTCCCTGGGGGAAGGACAACAGAAAAGTGGGTGAAGGGAGACGTTGGACAGTGGAAGATATGACAAAATAACAATTTATAAACTATCAAGGGTTCATGAGGGAAGTGGGGGCAGGGAGGGAGGGGAAAAATGAGGAGCTGATGCCAGGGGCTTAAGTGGACACAATGGATGGATGTATGGATTGTGATAAGAGTTGTATGAGTCCCCAATAAAATGATTAAAAAAAGGAAAGAAAATGCAAAAATCAAAATATATATTTTTAAAGTCAATAAAACAAAACGAAAACCTTGCAGCCATCCAGTGGATGCCTTCTCAGAGCGACCCCCGTGGGTTTCCGAGACGGTCATTCTTTCGGGAGCAGAGAGCCTCGTCTTTCTCCAGAGAAGCGGTTGGTGGCTTCATACCGCAGACCCTGCGATGACGGCTCATCCACGCGCCTCCCCAGCGGAAACCGAGCAGCCATCACGTTAGGGGTGAGCTGATTAAACAAACCCACATGGCCTGTGAATGGTGTTATAAATATAGCCCTTAGCAGGAAAGAGGTTCCCCACCCTGCTTTTGAGGGTCACGCTGGGTCAGAATGGACTGTGTGTGTGTGTGTGTATGTGTGTGTGTGCGAACTATTGTGATCACCGATCAGAGAAGAACAGGACCGTGCCGGTTGGAACGGAGAACTCTGGGTGCCTTTCAATCAAACCGGGGGCCATGGGGGTCACCTAAACTGAATGTGGAGTTTGCGGAACATTTAGCACCTGTGAAAGGTTTCTGAAGGACCAAACATTCATTCAGAACCATGAATGGGAGCTGTTTCTGGCAGCATTTGCCCGAGCGGTGAGTCTCTGGAGCAAACAGGCGTCTTGAGGGGAAGAAGGTGAGGGAGCCCGGTGACCCTGTCCACAGAGCCTGGTTGGTCCGACCCCGCAGAGCTGTGCTTTATCACAGGAATCTCTCTCCCCCGGCTTGAAGAGCTGCTTCCCCCTCCTCAAAGGAGGGGGTCCCTGCCAGAAGGGGGCCAGCACTTCCATT